AATAAATAAATAAAAGAAGCCTTAGAAAGGCAATGTCAAGGTTGAATATATACCAGTGGATTCCACAATGGTAGCCATCAAAGTTACTGGAAAGTTATTCAACTATTCTCAACCATCTGGGTTGCTTCAACTCCATTTTTATCAAACGGAGGGTTGTGAAATCCTCATCTAACCGGATAAACTTATTTCCAACCCAAGGAAGGACCCACAGGTCAACTGCCCTCTGTCAAAAAAAGTGCTGAGTAGATGTGAACGGGGCTGGGGGCGCTGGGCTTTTAATCACAGAGAAGTAGTCACAGGCAGGAATCCCTCCAGCCCTAGTCACCGACCACTGGCTGACCTCCCTGAACTTTCATTCCATCTCTTATTAAGGATGGAAAGGTCACTGACACACAGTTATGTCCCAGAAGGCTTCTGGGCCCCAATTCAATTTTACCTACAAACCATCACTCCTTTCACTCCTTGGTGGAGTTTGGAAGTGGCTAGAATGTCAATGTCAGCAAGCTGATGATGGGTTGGGTTCCTTCAGAGGGTGGCTAGCCTGAGCTTCTATGATCTAAAGTAGCAGTCCCCAACCTTTTTGGTACCAGGGACCAGTGCTCCTATGAGAATTTAATGCCTGATGATCTGAGGTGGAGCTGAGGTGGTGATGCTAGCGCTGGGGAGCGGCTGCAAATACAGATGAAGTTTCGCTTGCTCGCCTGCTGCTCACTCCTGCTGTGCAGCCTGGTTCCTAACAGGCCATGGACTGAGGAGACCCCTGATCTAAAGGACGCAAGCCAGGTTTTGGCTGATCCGAACCCAACTCGACAGCTAAGTGAGACCAGGATTAAAGAACCACAGAAAGAACGTGGAGTTGCCCAAGGTCACAGCACAGGACGGGCAGCACTGACCTGAGAGCTGATAAGACCAGCATGTCCCCAGGCAGTCGGTATGTTGGGTGGGGTGTTCCAGGTAGACTGTGAGTTGTGATCAATAAACTCTGACCAAGGTCACAGCACGGGCAGCACTGACCTGAGAGCTGATAAGACCAGCATGTCCCCAGGCAGTCGGTATGTTGGGTGGGGTGTTCCAGGTAGACTGTGAGTTGAGTTCACCAGGGGGAGTTTCACTGTCAGTCAAGGTTAAAACTGTCTATCAGACACATCAGCTGGGAAGGCCTCAGTGAGGAAGTCTTCCTCTGGGCTCGATGTTCTGTATTTAATAATTTGATGGGAATCTTTCTAATATATAAAAAATACTAAAATACTACTAAGGATTCGAATAGCGTCAAGATCCTTACCAGTCCTTAAAATTTTCTTTTATTCCCTGTCATGCTACCCGCAGCCACCTGCACATATACCACATGCACTGATAAGAGCAAATCGAAACCAAGCGCTTCTTAGCTAGGATAATAAACATGAGCCTCAAGAGCATAGGAAGAAAGTCACCACAGCACCCTCTTGTGGTTAGCATGGAACAATGCATGTATGAAAATCCACATTAGCATAACGTCTACCATACCACTTATTCCTATCCCGGAAAAGGTGGCTCTGGTATGAGAAATCATATTGTAATGTACAATAAGAAAACTTTCCAGTTTATCGGGAAAATCTCATATCTCTTATTGTTTATTATCGCAGCTGAGTGAGCCCAAGCATCTACAATTTTCCACCATTTCCCCGCAAAGCTCCTTTCCTTCCTTCTGCAGCACTGCTCAGGGGCAGAGGAGTCAGGACACGTTGAGGAAAAGATAAATAAATGTTCCTATTTCACATGGACTTTCCTGCCTAAAAAGAAGAGCCAACAATAAAAGCCCCAGCCTCCCAGTAGAATAATCCACAGTGG